GCCAATCTTTTTAGTGAAAATAGATACAAAAATCCTGAATAATATACTTGCAAACAGAATGCCACAAATCATCAGATCATTCATCATGACCAAGTATGCTTCACCCGAGATGCACGAATGGTTCAACACAAACAACTCAGTAATTGTTTTCGTATCCATCAGAATTTGTGTTCTCTGCTGACCAATACCAATAACGTATCGCCATTGCTTCGACCAGGCCTCTCCACTGGATGCTGCAGCCTAATAGTTCCTATCTATTTGGCCAAGAATGCCAGCTCTCCCACTCTACCACCATCGTTCCCATCAATTTTTCAATGACTCAGAAAGACCTCTTGTTTTCTTAGATCTAACATCTTCTCTTTTTATGCCTACATCACAAGCTTTTGCACTTTGGGGTCAATGATAGAACTTAATACACTACCAAAGTAAGTCAGCTTACCTTTTGGTTCCCACTTTAGGATTCTGAGGTATGTCTATAGTGTTCAGAATGGAATCATGCTTCACAGCCAAGCCTAAATCTGCTATGGCGCAAGTATCACATTTTTTCACTAAGATATTCTTTGATTTTAGGTCTCGATGAGCAATAGCAGGTTTACCTATGAAGCATTAAGAAAAGTATATTTACCTTTTTCTTTACCAAAGACTGAAACTGTCCAATAAGAATCACTCTAAAAATTTAAATCAAATGTTACTTAGATAGCCACCCACTCTAAACTCCAAGTCCTTCTGCAACAGAGCATCCCACTTTGCCATTTTCAGAACTCATATTACTATCTTCATTATCTTGCTTATTCATGTGTATGCTTAACCATCTGTCTCAACTAAACTGCTAGTTGAATGAGGGCAGTGATTTTGTCTTGCTCATCACCGTGTCTCTACTATTCAGAACACTAAGTGACATTTATAGGCACTAATAAATATCTTTTGAACAAGGTGGGGATGAATCACCATGACTGTGTACTCACAGAACATGGCAGAGATTTTCTTACAAAACAAGTTTCAAATGTTCACTCCACTAGAACAGCAGTTCCCAAGGTGGCCACAAACCTTGCAGGACCTAGAGACCATCTCCTAATAATGTGTCTGTGTGATGCCCCTGTCTGGACTTCAACTCAAACAACATGTCAGGACAACTGAATGAAGACAGGATATGAAAATCTAGAGATTAAGCCAAGGCTAAAGGGATTTTCAAATTTATAAAATAAGGCAGCTATTTTCACTAGATAGGTTTTTGCATGTGAAACTTTAAAAGTGACACTTTATAAAGCTATTATCTATGTTAACTTTTAGCTCTTAAGACTTTCAACCATTTTTTTAAACTTTAGTATGATAATATTAATGTTAATGACATTTTAAAAAAAGTTTTGGGGATTCTCAGTTTGTCATGCCTTTATATAAAGGCATCATGAGTGATAGTTTGAGACCCATTTTCCTGTTTAATGACTTTCTAGAGTCAATTCTCTAGTAAATCAATAAATTTCAAAAGCAGTGAGTACCACTGGGCTTCAAATACATAATGTGCACATGCTTTTCATGGTCACATTATCCTCCCCAATTATTTTTAGTTATAGGATTTAGTTATGGTTGTTTAGTTATAGGCCCAAGTAAGCATTCTAAATGGCAAAGATGGAGCAAGTAGGAATAAACACATCATGAATTATATACAAAATGATAAGTAAATATGTGAAAGTTGATTGTATCATGATAAAACCTTCAGCTTTATAGATCACTTTTATTGTTCCTTTGTATTTGATCATTGTAAAGAACTAATATACAGCTGAGTGACTGCAATGCTTGTACTCACTGAGGAAAACAAACCGAAGCACATACCTTGTGTGCCCAGGATCTCCATGTGCAGGTGTGCGAGGCCACTGGCTATTGAGAGGGCCAGTTTGATCATTCCAGCCGCGGTGACTACATTTCTATTCAGATAGTCATATAAAGAGCCCTTCTCATGATACTCAGATATGAGCCAAAGCTGAGTCCAAGTTCCATTATCTACAGGAGAACATAACTTGTTACTAAAAATATATGTTGAAAAGAAGCCAAAAGCTTTTAACATGTCAATATTTAATCTACATTGTTAACAAAGCAGTTATTTCCTTCAGTAGTGATGCTCAAAGACAAAATGAAGGAAAAATTGTTTTTCCAATGCATTACTGAAGAAACTGTCATTTTAGAACCCACCACAGAAATAAGAACTTGGGAGGCAGCGATTCTAACAACTATGAGACCTCTTCATATTCCCTCCACCAGCACTTGCTGGCAATAGTAACACATTATGTGAGAAACAACCAAGAAATATGTCCAGACTCCATGTTATGTTATAAATT